AACCATCATTGTTTAACCATCGACAATTGAATTTGACACGATTAGTTCTTAGAGTCGCTACAATCAACATGATATTAATCCTTCCATGAGTTAATTCTATTATCAAAATAAATATTTTCTAAATTCTGATTTTAGTTGAATATTCTTCGTACAAATTTGATTGCAATCTTGGATGAGTTATAAATTGGGTTAAAATTCCTATTCATGGTGAGTTGAACTCTAACAATTATCATGTATCTTTTAATATTGTCTATTAGTTTTTACTAGTTATCTCTATTTTCCAAAACTAGAAGATTTTCATTTCTATTGAAACATATCACCTCCATAATTTGTTCTAGTTTTCCCTGAGGAGACGACCTTGATATTTTCTGAGTTTCTACACGAAAAATTTCATACGCTTGGGAAGCATTTTTATATTTACCACTTTTTGGGGCAAGCATTTTTGGCGTCATTGCTGAGAAACTCAAATGTACAAATTTGAAAGGTGATTCAAATTAACGATAGGTAAAGCCTTGTGATTATTGTAGAGTTTTTATTTATATTTGTAGGATTTTATTTAGTTTTACATGTGGGAACATGACCATATTGATAGGCTTGCTAGACGTAACCAACAACTGAACATATACATGGTCGAGGGAAACAATAATGAGCATGTGCAAAATATGGGTAATGTTTGAAACAATCTCCCAGTTGTTCCTCTTGTGCGAACAATGAAAGAATATCTCTAACCTACTCGAACTTCTGCACCATCTTGCATACTTTTGTTGGTTCAAGCTCATGCAGTTACAGTTAAACTAGGCATACTCCAACTACTTCCTGAATTTCATGTGGATAGGAAAATCCCTTATCTCCAGACCAATGCATTTGAAGAAGTGGTTAACACATTCCTAGAACAAAATGCACAAGAGGAAATCAAGGATGAAACTGTTTTTGTTTTCACTTAAAGGTAAGACAAAGTCTTGGCTGAATTCCTTGAAACCCAATAGTAGCTTCATGGTTTGAGTTGCAAAAAGAATTTTTTTTTAAAAACAAAATTGTATTGCATATGACTACTTCTTTGAATAAACAAATTCAAAATTTTTCAAAAAAATAAAATGAATAATTTTATGATTACTCGAAAAGATTTAAGGACTTGTTAAACTCTGTTCCACATTAAGACTTTGAATCTTGGCAATTGTTATATTTCTTCTGCAAAGGAATTACCCCTACACATCGTCAGTTCATTAACATAGTGAGTAATGGTGAATTTTTAAATAAGGAGCCTGAGGAAACTCTAGATTATTTTGATAACTTGGTAGAGAATATGCAGTCTTGGGACAACTCTAATCCCACCAAGCAATCAAAGTCATCTATTGTATCCCAATCCACTGAGGGTGGAAAGTATGTTTTGAGAGACAAAGATGACTTGTTCACCAAGATTGTGCATTTATCCTGAAAAGTGGAAAGTTTAGAGGTGAAGAAAGTAAACGAGGTGGCTAGTGTACCTAAGGTTCAGGAGCTATACTCAATAAGTGAGTCAATTTAGCATTCCACTATGGTGGGCCCGACTATTCCAGCATTTAAGGAAATTCTCCATAAATAGGTAAATGCATTTAATCAACCTAGGCAATCATCTTCTCCATATTCTAAAACATACAATCAAGGATGGCAAGCCCTTCCTAACTTTAGTTAGAGAAATGATGTCACTGCTACACCTCCTGTACCCGTGTCATATGCCCGCTTGTCCCACAAAACCAACAAATGTATGTTCTAATTTCATCAAATATTTCCTAGCCTCCTAATCACGGACCACAAGGGTATGTTCATAACTGACCAAAGCAAGGTTTTGGCCCCAAGGGTCAATCTAATGTACCACCTTACCAACCACCTCATAAGATAAGTTTAGAGGACATCATGCTTCTAGTCATATAGAGTTTGTAAAAAATTAGGGAAATTTAAAATTTTCTTGTGAGGGGTGAAATGGTAATTAGACGTTACAGTATGGGTTGAAAATCCGAATTTGTTTAAAACTCGGATGATGAAACGAACCCAACTGTTGGATTCATCTCGTAAAATCTAGTAACCCGTTGATTTTCATTGAATTCCATGACAGTCAATTTTTTTGTATTTTACGATCCGATCGGACGTTGCATAACTAAAATAAACGCAATCAAGATTTCCACTTGATCATTTAAGATAAAAGGGAGTCAAGAATGTGGTGGTCAATCATTTATCCCAACAAGTTTTTTAGGTCATGCAAGAGCACATACCCATACCTGATAATTTCATTGATGAGCATTTGTTTTCAGATGATACAGTTTGTCCTTGGTGTGCTGACATAGTTAATTTTTTTTTGGTTGAAGGGCAGATACCAATGCAATAGAGTCCACAAGAGAGGAGAAAGTTTTTAGTGGAGGGGAAGAAGTTCTATTTGGATAATCCATTTTCAAATATTTTCCTAATCAGGTGATGAGGAGATGTGTGCCTAATGGTGAGCAGGAAGATATCATTTCCTTTTGCCACTCAGAGGCACGTGGAACTTGTTTTTACTCCAAGAAGATTGGAGCCAAAATTCTATAGTGTGGCTTCTATTGGCCGATGTTGTTCAAAGACTGATTCCATTTCTATAAGAGTTATGATTGGTGCCAGAGATTAGGTAGTGTGACCCATATGAATATGATGCATCTCACCCTCATCCTCATTATAGAGGTTTTTTATTGTAGGAGCATTAATTTTATGGGTCCTTTCCTATTTCGTTTTCTTTTGGTTATCTTTATATTTTGTCACTATAGACTATGTGTTTAAATGGGTAGAGGCAATTCCCACTAGGAACAATGACCATAAGGTTGTGATCAAGTTTCTTTAGGAAATTATATTTTCTACATTTGGATTCCTATTTAGTAATGGTGGTTTGCACTTTTGTAACAAGCCATTTGTGAATTTAATGCACAAATATGGCATTACACATAAAATGTCCACTGCTTACCACCCACAGACCAATGGTCTGGCCGAGTTAGCTAATATAGAGAGATTAAGCACATACTAGAGAAGACGGTTAGCCCAAACCCTAAGGATTGGTCACTTCGGTTGACTAATACTTTGTGGGCATACCATATGAATTTCAAGACACATTTAGGTATATCTCCCTATAGGTTAGTATATGGGAAAGCCCATCACCTACCAACAGAAATAGAGCACCATGCTTATTGGGTCATCAAGACCCTGAATTTCAATTTAAGTTTTGTTAGAGGCCACAAAAACTTGAATTGAATGAACTTGAGGAGATACGCAGAGATTTGAATGAGAGTACCCACATTTATAAGAAAAAAACTAAGGTTTTTCATTTCAATCCATTTTGAGAAAAATCTTTGAGCCGGGACAAAAGGTACTTTATACAATTTTTGACTTCACCTATTCGTAGGGAAGTTACGCTCTCGTTGGATCAGTCATTTTGTGGTCTGTACAGTTTATCCTCATTGGGACGTATAGGTAGAAAACCCTAAGAATAGGTAGACATTTAAGGTCAATGATTAGCGACTAAAATCCATTCTTAGATAATTTTATGGATGAGCTTACTAATCTTGTGTATCAGAATCTTCAATCTACTTAGTGCGCCCTTTTTCTTTTCTTAGTTAAGTTCGTTCTTTTTAGTGTTGTCTTTTTTTTTTTAATTTTAGATGCTAATTTTGTTTGTTTATTTTGCATACAAAGAGTTCTTTTGATGTAGCTTGAAGTATAATCTCCCCCCTTTCATTTGACGCTTTCGAATTTGTTTGACATATGTTTGTAATTGGCTAATTTCCTGAAGTTCATTGTAGATGTTGCATTGCCTCTAGCATTTGCTGTGAATTTGGAACATGATTGGTTGGTGAAGGAGCAACCTCCTCCTCTCGTGATGGATTATCTTCAAGATGATTCCTGGATCTAGTGGTGATCTCCATACGTACATCAAGAGATGTACTTAGGTGAGAATTTTGTCGTTCCCACAGACAGTGTCAAACTAATGATGCACAAATTGAGTTTCTATACTACCTGTCAATTGAATAGTAATAAATGCAGTAATTAAAACAGAGAGAGATAATAAGCGAGATGAGACAAGGGTTATAGTGGTTCGATCAATGTACCCTATGTCCACTTTGAATGGCTAGGGTCGCCAAGTACTTTATTACTTCAAGTGAGTAGGGAGAGCAGAGAGTTACAAGTTGAGAGGGAGAGGAGAGAGTTATGCTTAACTGTGTGTGATCTGCCCCCAAGTGTTGACGGGGTTTATAATTTATGGTCGCCCCATAACAGATTGGGGCGAGTTATTAGTAACTAAGTGGCTATTCTGGTAGAGTTGACGATCTTTTCTCAGCAGGTGAGATAGTTATGGTGCTCTCCGTGAGATTCAGTCAAAGGATGAGGTGGGTGTTGACTCTTTCCAAGATGGCGTGGATGAGGCTCTTGGATGACCCTTCTTACTCCCTTGGCGAGCTTGACCGGGCATAGACCCCTTTGGGTTGGATACTGGATCTTTATAAGTTGGGCTCTTGATTTAAACTCGGCTTACAATGTGGATTGGGCCCTTGGGATTGACCCATCAATTCATTTTCATATCACCTTTTTGGGGTTTTAAAATAGCACATAACCCCATTGCGATTGTTGTATTAAAATACACTGCTTAACTCTGTTAACAGTAAAACTAAAATAACTTTAATGCCCCTCCCCACTTTTCTTCTTCTTCAGTGACTATTGATCCATCACAAATTTAGTATCACCTTTGCCCCCAACCCAATAACTCATCAACTCCACATTAATCCATCTATCACCTAAGAATTGAAAAATAAAGAAGTGGTTTGTGGTGGTGGGTGAAAATGGTAGCGGTTTGCAATTGAAAGGGAAGGAGGTGTGTGTTGATGGGTGATCAAAATTGTATGATCAACATACTATTTGTAGCTAAAACCCCCCTTTGATCATGACTTTCAACACTTTGAATCATCAACTTGTTTCTTCAAACCTCTAGATAACCCAAAAAAACAAACCCCTCCACCGTCGCTGCCACCACCCTTATCTCCACCAGACTGCACTATGTGGACCAATGCTTGTTCAGAGAAGGTCTTGAGGCTGGCAAAGACCCTAGAAAAACATAGTTAAAATCAATAAGAAGAAAAATTCATGAGAACCCATAACATGTTTTCAAAGACTTCAAGACGAGTAAGCTAACTCGCTATGAATTGGATAATATGGAAATCAGTTACAGGTTTTTACTAGCCAAGACCGGCATCAAAGCCATGATCAAGACTAGTGGACCACCTTTCATTGCCTTTAAGGTTGACATGGATGCCCTCTAATTCATATCTATTTTCAAGGAAAATAGAGGCCTTGGTGGTTAATCGATGGAAATAAGAGGTGGGCGATCATGACTATTGACCAAAAGCGGAGGTGGGTATTGGTGGTTGATCAATGGATAGTGGTGGCCGCCATGGGTTATCACCAGGAGAGATGAACTTCACTTGCGTAGGTATGCACATAGACATTGAGAGAGAAGAAGTGGAACAGGTGAAAAGTTAGTAAAATAAAACAAATAGAGTTTGAGGGTTTTGTTGTCTTTTTAACATTTTTTTGTTATACCAAACAATATAATATGGTGCGTGACTTGTACATGCTGTTAAATTCGATGAAAAATATGATGGTGCATTTTAGTCCAACAATCATAGGAGAATTATGTGTTGTTTTAAAACCTCTAGAAGGTGATGTATGAATAGGTCAAACCATAAGGGGGAAAAGTGCAGTTTGTCCTTATTTTTATAAAAAAAAATTCATGATTTTACTTTAAAAACATAATGGACATCTATTCCCACCTCACTGAACAACACTTGATGATACATGAAAAGAATTTTAACTAAGTATGAGCTCGGGAAGTGAGGTCAAACAAAGAAGTCAGATAAGGAACCTAGAGTTTAGAGGCCTAAGTCTTGAGCTCCTCTTGGATAAAAGAGCAGAAGAGGTGAGAAGAAAACAGTTGGCTAACAAGAGGCACTTACAAAACAGCAAGAGGATAGTAATTATGGCGTGAAACTCTCAACCACCCAAGATCCCCTCCAAAAATCAAGGAAAATCCCGTGGATGAAGGGCTAGGATCTCACTGAAGATCCCTTAGAAACAAGAATCAGACCATAAATATTGAACAGCGCCTCCAACGAAAGGGGGACGAAGAAAAATATATATAAAAACACTACGTAATTTATTACGATGGGGAATACAGATTCAAGGAACAAGAGACTCCATTCGAGAGTGGACTAGCCGAGCTCAGTGAACCACTATATTTTCATTTTGCAATTCATCCCAATCCTCTGACCCTTGAACACCTTAATTCTGATCAATTTCCATGGTTCATTCATTTTACTCAATTGGCATAGTAAACACCATCAGTTTGGCACCGTCTGTAGGAATGACTGTTCTCATTACAAAAACGTTGATCCTTTAGTAACAGATGGTATCAACTCGCAACACGAGCATAAGTCAAATGAATCCCCCGTGGATCCAAAACCAACAAGAAGCTACTGGCGGTGGGCAGCATGAAAACCTTTAGGATTTCATCCCCAACGTTGAAATCAATCCCCCTGTGGTCGATCCCCCAACAAACAATGAGTTGGAGGCTCTTCGCTTGGTAAACCAGCGTCTCCTTCGACAGAACGAAGAGCTCTTAAAGCTCTTATAGGGTCCTCAGTAAGCCAGATCAACCTAAGGAAGCCCCTCACAGGGAGAGCATTGGCACTTCGACCCTCTTAAAGAAGTCAACGAAGGGGGGTGAGAATAGCCACGCCCTTCCTCCGCCTCCTAGGAAAGGTGAACATGAAGAAGGACAAAGTTAGGATGAAGGGATTGAGAAAAATGATTTTCTTCCTGTCCAGCAAGAAAAAAGAAAGCAATACTAGGAGCAACGCTCCGGTGACATCCAGCAAGAGCTTAGCCACATGAAGGAAGTCGTGAGGGGTAAGACCCCAATGACAATGGATGCTTCGGTGCAGCAAACTGAGTCCCCATTCACTGTTGGGGTATTGCATTTTCCCCTTCCTCCAAAGTTCAAAATGCCCCAGATAGAGGCATTTGATGGGACTAAAGATCCCATGGACCACCTCAATATCTACAAAAATCAAATCGAGCTGCATAGACCCTGTGCGATGTTGAGCCTTCGCCATCACGTTAAAAGGCTCAGCCCTTGCATGGTTCAATAGAGTTCCCCCAGCATCAATCTCTTCTTTCAAGGAGCTCTTTATATCTTTCGTATCCCATTTAATAGGAGCCTGAACCTACTGAAAGCCAAGTTACCACCTATTGAACGTAAAACAAGGACCCAATGAGAACCTGCAATTTTATGTCCAAAGGTTCAACTCAGAATCCCTAAACGTGGACATTCCAGATGAGAAGTTCACTATCATTGCTTTTATTGCTGGACTTTGAGTACAATCGAAGGATTTGATATTTTTGATAGCAAAGAACCCACAGGCAAGCATGGCAGAAGTGCTAGCTAAGGCAGAAAAGTATATTAATGGCGAGGAAGCCCTTCTCTCAAAGGTAAGGTGCTCATCTTCTCAAAAGAAAAAGGTGAAGGAAGAAAAGAAGAGGGATCGAAGTCCCAGGAAAGAAAGAGGATGAGATAGGTTTCCAAGGAGAGACAAGGATCGTTCCCCTGAGAGAAGGGGAGATGTCAGAGACCGCCTAGGTCCTCCACAGCCAAAGTTACAACCGAGGTACGCACCTCAGCAGCTCACTCCTCTCACTACCACAGTGTCCCAGATCCTATATGAGGTGCAGAATGAGAAGTTCTTAAAATGGCCCCCCCGAATGAAGGTAGATCTAGCAAAGAGAGATCCCACGAAGTATTGTGAGTACCATATTGATCATGGCCATCACATCGATGACTGCATCCAGCTAAAGAAGGAGATTGAATTCCTGATCTAACGAGGGCAGTTGAGACGTTTTGTAGTTAATTACAATTAGAACCACGCTCAACCACCTCCATCTCCTCAATAATAAGCCCTTGTGCAGCATCAGCAACCTCTAGGAGAGATCAGAGTGATATCTAGGGGATTTGCTAGAGACGGAAATCCAACACAACAACGAATGCTCATTGACGCAGAATCAGAGCTTATGAGACATTAGTAGTGCATACTATATCCAAAATGCCATGGTTAGACATGACCATCACTTTCTCATACTTGGATTTAGAATGCTACCAGCATCCCAACGATGATCCCTTGGTGGTAAAGTCATTCTTGCCAACAGAACTGTTCATCGAGTTTTGATTGACAAAAGGAGCTTTACTGACATCATCTTTGCGCCAGCATTTGATAAGATGAGAATAGGCAGAGAAAAGCTCGAGCCAGTAAGTACCCATTTGCTAGGGTTCTCAAGAGAAAGGGTACTACCCCTGGGGTCAATATAACTCGTTGTCACAATCGGGGACCCTTCCTGTCAGACCTCCACTACCATGAAGTTCCTAGTAGTCAATGCCCCTTCGATGTACAATATGCTGCTTGGGAGACTTTCCCTCAACGCAATGAGAGCTATACCTTCTGCTTACCACTTGGTTATAAAGTTTCTTATGTAAAATGGAGTTGGTATGGTCTGAGGAGACTAGCGTGTAGCAAGAGAGTGCTACATGGCCTCTGTAAAAAAGAGGAAAGTAGAGAATATCAAATTGGATAAGCTCGACATGAGAGATGAGCTGAACACTAGACGCATGCCATCGGAAGAATTGGAACCAGTTCAGCTTGACGAAGAACCAGAACACCTTGTCTACGTAGGGTCTAAGCTGAGCAGAGAAATTATAGACCTTCTTATTCAATTCCTAAAGGAAAATATATAATTATTTTCCTGGAAGCAAGAAGAAATGGAGGGCATCGACCCTTCAATCATCATGCTCAAGCTCAGTTTGAATCCCACTTGCAAACCCGTTAAACAAAAGAAAAGAAGTTTCACCCCAGAACGCCAAAAAAGCCAGCAATGAGGAGGTCAATAAACTTCTCCATGCCAAAGCCATCAGGGAAGTAGACTACCTAGTCTAGTTAGCCAATGTGGTCCTCATTAAGAATACCAATGGCAAATGGCGCCTCTGCATCAATTTTACAGACCTCAACCAGGCCTGCCCTAAAGATAGTTTCTCATTACCTCGGATAGATTTGATTGTGGATGCCACCGTTGGACACGAGCTCCTTAGCTTTATGGATGCCTTCTCGGGGTATAATTAGATTAGAATGGATCCCAGTGATCATGAGAAGACCACTTTTGTGATAGAGCAAGGGACGTACTACTACCAGGTTATGCCTTTCGGATTGAAGAATGCTAGAGCTACTTACTAGCAAATGGTGAATTGAATGTTTCAAAACTAGATTGGGATGGCTATGGTGGTCTACATTGATGATATGTTGCTAAAATCATCACAGGCAGAGTTCCACATCAAGCATCTAGCAGAATCGTTCTAGATCCTTAAAGAATACAAGATGAAGCTTTACCCCACCAAATTTGCCTTTGGATTCTCCGCTAGTAAATTTCTAGGCTTCATAGTCAACAGTAGGGGGATTAAAGCTAATCCAGAAAAGGTTAAAGCAGTAATGAATATGCAGCCACCTTCCAACACAAGGGAAGTACAACGACTAATAGGGAGAATAGCAACACTGAGTCACTTCATGTCCATATCAAGTGACAAATGTCAACCCTTCTTTTAAGTCTTAAAGAAGGTTTTCTAATTGAATACCCGATGTGAAGAAGCATTCAAAGCCTTAAAGGACTATCTAAGCTCACCCCCTGTCTTGGTAAGTCCATTGGAAGAAGAGGCACTCACTTTATACCTCGCAGTTTTGGATTTCTCAACCAGTACAACACTGGTGAGGGAGAGAGATAGAGCTCAGCAACCAGTCTACTACTACAACAAAGCTCTGAGGGGAGCGGAGGAAAGATATCCAAAGATGTAGAAACTAGTCTTGGCCTTGGTTACAATCGCAAGAAGACTCAGGCCATACTTCCAGGCCAACACTATTGAGGCCCCAATAGATCAACCGATGAAACAGGTGCTGCATAAACCAGAATCTTCTAAAAGGTTGGTTAAATGGGCCATCGAGCTCAGTCAGTTTGATATAAGATACAAGCCGTGGACAATGATCAAAGGGCATATTCTAGCATATTTCATTGCAGAATTAAAGTTAGAAGCACATACGGAGGCAACACAGCTAGTTTCCCGACCTCCTTGTATGGAAACTTTTAGTAGATGGAGCGGCTAACGCTCAAGGAAGTGGTGCTGGGTTGATTCTGATCTCCCCAGATGGAATTGATGTC